CCCCCCACACTGCAAAGGTTAAGCGCTTGTTTTGATCTAGGGTCTACAATAAAGAAGATATAGTCACCTGATTCTCAGTCCTGCCTGGCTGCTACCCCGGTCCATGGAGGACTCCCGGAACACCAACACTTAATTCTGAGCACATGGCAAAAAAATTGATGGTGTATCTACCTGTTTGCAGACAATTTACGTTGCTCGGAACGCAAAGGACAACGCGGTGTCGTATTATTTCTTCGACCTCATGAACAAGTGTCAGCCTGAACCCGGGACCTGGGATCAGTACGTGGAGAAGTTCCTGAAGGGTGAAGGTATGTGAAGACAACTCAATGGCTAATATCTCACAAGCTTTGTTATATTTTTAACCTGTTCCGGCCAAGCATACATACAAGCATGGCTTATGGACAGGGTCGGATTACCCACAAGGCCAACCGAGGCCCGGCCTCGGGGCAGCAGGGAGTAGAGGGGCAGCAGGGGTGTGGAATTCCTACCTCCCGAAGCCCGGGACATGCAGTTCTGGGTGCGGGGTGGGTAGTTGTTTTCTACAGTTAGCCCTGCTTTGGGCTAAATGTAGAACGGGGGAAGCCACCGCTTGTTTTGTACAAGTGATCCCGGCAATGTCGCCGAGATTACTTGTATGCAGCCTGCATACAGGGGGGCGCATTGAGGAACCTGGCATTGGGGCAGCAGAGAGAGTAAATCTGGCCCTGCTTACGGAGTCAAGTCTTCTTCTGTGGGGCCACATATACTGTATGTGCCTGTGTCTATGATGGAAGTGTGGTTTATAGTGTGCCCCCATATGGAGACTGAGCTTTCACTGACAAGACTGGCTCCTGATTGGTTATCACAGTGATCACTCGCTGCAGAACCCTTCCCAATACATTGTAACTTTGTCTCCACTCTAAATCTAAAAACAAATAAAGATAACATAGATCAAAGCCTTATCTAGGTCAGTTGGTAGAATACATGAAACCCCACTACTCCAGAGTCCTTTGGTACTAGATATGTAAGCTGCGGAAAAATTTGGTTTGCATATTTCGTTATTTCGGAATTCGGATCTGAATTTCAATCCAGTTCGGGTTTTGGATTCGGGCGAAATCTGAATTTCGTTAGTTTCGGATGACTTTACGAATATTCGTTGTGAGTGAAACAGAAAACTATATACAGACTTTAATACTAAAGGATCCGAATTTCCGAATTGCATCCGGGAGCTCCCCAATGCCATTCGGGTCTGAGAGCCATATACATGTATTACTAAAGCTGAGGCTCCCAGTCCCGAGTGGTATTCAGGAGCTCCCAAATGCAATTCAGAAATTTGAATCCCGAATGCCATTCGGGTCTGGGAGCCATATAGTTACATATATTACTAAAGCTGAGGCTCCCAGACCCGAATGGTATTCGGATCTGAATTTCCGAATTGCATTCGGGAGCCCCGGAATGCTATTCAGGTCTGGGAGCCATATACATATTACTAAAGCTGAGGCTCCCAGACCTGAATAGCCTTTGGGATCAGAATTTCCAGAAATTCGGATCCCGAAGGCCATTCAGGTCTAGGAGCCTCAGCTTTAGTATTGTATATACTGTATATGGGTGCCATGTTGCCGTAACGAAAATTCGTGTTCAGACCCATTCGGATGCATTAAACCGAAAAACACATCTGACTAGCCAGAAAAGTCACATGTCCCATTCAGTTTCTGAACGAAATTCAGACGGAATCCAAAATTCGGAAACGGAAATTCAGGTTCGGACACATTCTTATGCATTGGGATTCGAAAATTCGGATGTGTCAGAATGTCCGAATTTTGGAAAATTCATCCAAATTTTGATTCGGAATGAAACGAATCACACATGTCTATTTGGTACTGCCTTTTGCTAGGGGTGCAGGCTGTGGGAGCCCATCCTTTTTCCATGTAGTATGCCAAAAGTAGAAGACCCACATGACAAGTACATCACTTCCTCTCAAGAAAACTTCATTCAAAAACGAGAGTCCTTACCTGAGACCCGCCCATTACTGATCCATTTCACCCTTATGGACTTAGCCATAGATTACTTAGTTCCCATCTCTTCCCAATCTATCCAAAACTACATTTAAAAACAATGTCTGCTTTAAATGGAACACACGGTATTAAATTCCTGGGGAAGAGGAAAGGACTTATTTCTTTTTTTAATTCTTATGTATGGGGCCCTCATAGACCCCCTTTTTCTAACTTGTGTTCCTGAAACTGTATTGGGATTATTAAAGTGCAACTGAAGCTGCATTTAATTTTGTATAGAGTGGAAAGGGATTAGAACCCCCGTCGTGTCCCCATTAGGGAGATCCAAAGTCCAAAATTTTGGGTTGTCGCCAGAACAGGAAGAGATGGGATATCTTACAATGGGGCACTAGTTCTGGTGACCACCAGGGAGGGATTTCCATCACTTATCGTTGTGGCTATCGGACAGGAAGTAAAGATAAATCTCCCCAATAGGACACATATGGTAAAAAAAGGGTGGTCTTAAGGGTTATAACCTTTCCTTACTCTATCCAAAACCAATAAAAAAAGTTTTGACTTAAGTTCTGCTTTAAAATTCAGTTAATTTTTCATAATTTTTTGCAAAAACTCAAAACTTTTCCACAACTAAATGTATTGTGACAAAGTGTGTCATTGTAAGACCTGCTCCTGTGGTAGAGTTATGTCTGTTCAAGTCTATGGGACAAGAGGTTCTGGCATTTAGGTTTTTACCGGCCGGGGATGCAAACAGTATGGAATCCTGCATCCATCTATAAGTACAGACCTGCAGAAGGGGACCCAGCTGACTGTATTGGGGAAGGGAAGGGGGTGCCCAGCTGACTGTATTGGGGATGGGAAGGGGGTGCCCAGCTGACTGTATTGGGGAAGGGAAGGGGGTGCCCAGCTGACTGTATTGGGGAAGGGGGTGCCCAGCTGACTGTATTGGGGAAGGGAAGGGGGGTGCCCAGCTGACTGCATTGGAGATGGGAAGGGGGGTTCAGGGATTTTTGATTAAACACGAACCTGTATTTTAAATATTGCAGAAAGTTTGAACCGCCACTAAATGTATTCTGCACTAAATGTATTCTGAAAGACTGGAACTGTATTATTTATTAATAAAGCCTTAAAATGTTCTCTTGACGTGACGGGAACGAGGGGTCACACCATTGGAGAAATGGCTGCACGCCTGAAAGCCCTTCTCAGCAGATGAAGTGCACTTAAGAGGCCTCTGTACCCGGGGAAAGTGACAGAATTCTGACTCTCATTCCTTTCTTTCCGCAGTGGCCTGGGGAAACTGGTTTGATCATGTGATCGGCTGGTGGAACGCCAAAGACAAGCACGAAATCCTCTACATGTTTTATGAAGATATGAAGGAGGTGAGGAGGGGAGCTGAGAGGTAAAGCCGGGGACAGATGTCTTTATAATTGAAAAGATATTGTGAAGATAACCTCATGTTAAAGCTGAACTCCGGTCAAAATAATATTAATTGTAATATATTGCTCAACAACAGCAAATTATACAAATCCACTCTGTGTGCCCCAAAGGCCTTTCAGATAACTATAGGAGGGGGCGTAGACAAGACCAATCACCCGGAACAAGGAGAGAGAGCACAGTGACTGGTCTTTATTACAGGAGGGGGCGGAGACAAGACCAGTCACCCTGCAAAAGGAGAGAGAGCAGCAGTGACTGGCCTTTATTACAAGAGGGGGCGGAGACAAGACTAGTCACCCTGCACAAGGAGAGAGAACAGCAGTGACCGGTCTTTATTACAGGAGGGGGCGGAGACAAGACCAGTCACCCTGCACAAGGAGAGAGAGCAGCAGTGAGCGGTCTCTATTATAGGAAGCTCCCAGTCTCACAGATCTGGAAGAAATACACAAAGCTCACCATATTCAAGAAGAATACACATGACTCTTGTATTTAGATAACATTTTCTCTAATCCCATAGTTCCTCTTTAAGAATATTCATTTTTGCTTCTTGCAGCGAATGGCCCTGTGAACGGTTTATAAAAAGACCCCTTAACTGTTAGTTATGTTCATGATAGTTGTCCTCCAAGCTTCTTAACAAAACTTTTATGAACAGAACCCAAAACAAGAGATACGAAAGGTGATGAAGTTCCTGGGGAAGAACCTCTCAGAAGAAGCGTTGGATAACATCTGCCACCACACCTCCTTCAAAGCCATGAAGGAGAACCCAATGGCCAATTATTCCACCGTTCCAAATATAGTGCTAGACCAGACCGTCTCGTCCTTCATGAGGAAAGGTGGGGATGTTCTGTACCTGGTTTATAAGAAATAGAATATTGGTTTATATGAAATGTCTCCAAAATATTGTGAAGGGAATTTATCAAAACTGGAGCAGCTTCACCTGGCAACCAATCAGCTTCTCTCTTTCATTTTAAAATATTAACTGAACCATCTGAAGAGAGAAGCTGGTTTGTCACCATGGACCACTTTTCTAGGTTTTGTCTGCTCCAGTTTTGATAAATTCCCCTCTGTATCTATATATAAAAAAAAAAGAAAGTAACTTAAAAGTTGTCCACCTTTTCTACAACCCCCAAGAACAGTGTGGAAAATAATTATTTGATCCCCTGCAGATTTTGTAAGTTTGCCCCCTTACAAAGAAATGAAAGGTCTATCATTTTTATCATAGGTGTATTTTATATGATGGAGACAGAATATCAACCAACAATCCAGAGAAAATACACGATACAAATGTTATAAATGGAGTTGCAGTTCAGGGAGTAAAATAAGTACTTGATCCCCAAGCAAAACATGATTTAGTACTCGGTGGGGATCCCTTGTTGGGGAGCACAGAGGTGAGGCGTTTCTTGTAGTTGGTTTCCAGGACTGCACACATCTCAGGAGGGATTTTGGTCCCTTTATAGATCTTCTCTAAATCCTTCAGGTTTCTTGGCTATCGCTTGGCAACTCAAAGTTTCAGCTCCCTCCATAAATGTTCTATAGGATGAGGGTCTGGAGACTGGCTAGGCCACTCCATGACCTTAATGTGCTTCTTCTTGAGCCACTGCTTTGTTGCATTGGTTGTATGTTTTGGGTCATTGTCATGCTAAGAGACCCGTCCACGACCCATCTTCAGTGTTCTGGCTGAGGGAAGGAGGTTCTCATCCAAGATTTTACAGTACGTGGCCCCGTCCATTAGCCCCTCAATGCGGCAAAGTTGGCCTGTGCCTTTAGCTGAGAAACAACCCCAAAGCATAATGTTTCCCCCTCCGGGCTGGACTGTAGGGATGGTGTTCTTAGGGTCATAGTCAGAATTGTTCTTCCTCCAAACACAGCGAGTCGAGTTCATGCCAAAGAGCTCAATTTTGGTCTCATCTGACCGCAGCACTTTCTCCCAATCCTTCTCTGAATCATTTAGATGCTAATTGGCAAACTTCAGATGGGCCTATACATGGGCCTTATTGGGGAGGGGGACCTTAAGGGCTCTGCAGGATCTCAATCCATGGCGGTGTATTGCGTTACCAATGATGTGTTTGGTGACTATGGTCCCAACTGCCTTGAGATCATTCACAAGTTCCTCCTGTGTAGTTCTGGGCTGATCCCTCACTTTCCTCATGATCATCCTCACCCCATGAGGCGAAATCTTGCATGGAGCTCCAGACCGGGGGGTCATTGATGGTTATTTTGTATTTCTTCCATTTGTTTCCTTCTCACCAAGCTTCTTGCTGATAGTCTTGTAGCCCATTCCAGCCTTGTGCAGGTCTACAATCTTGTCCCTAAGGTCCTCTGACAGCTCTTTGGTCTTGCCCATGGTGGTGAGGTTTGAATGGAAGAAAGAGATTCTGTGGACACGTCTTTTATGTACATAACGAGTTGTCGTTAGGAGTACCTACTTAAAGTGACAGGACTCATCTGTGTACCACATGGCCAGTCTGTGGGAGGAGCCAGAATTATTGTTGGTTGGTAGGGTATCAAATACTTATTTTACTCCCTGAACTGCAACTCCATTTATAACATTTGTATCGTGTGTTTTTTCTGGATCGTTGGTTGATATTCTGTCTCTATCATTTAAAATACACAGATGATAAAAATTAGAGACCTTTCATTTCTTTGTAAGCGGGCAAACCTTACAAAGGGGAGGGGAGCAGGGGAGCAAATCATGATTTTCCTCACTGTAGGTCAGGAAGACCCCCTGATAATGTTACAGAAAGCATTTCTATTTCTCTGCAAAGATAGTCATATATTTTTCAAGCTGACCTTCTTGTCTTTCCAATTTTAATTTTAGGCGAAGTTGCAGACTGGATGAATTATTTTACAGAATCCCAAAATAAAATGTTCAACGCGGAATATGAAAAGAGGATGAAAGTAACCGACCTCAAATTCCGTACCAACATCTGAAGCTGGAGATGATACATGAAACAATTCTTAAGCAATAAGTCCGGACCTAGGAACCTGTTTAGGGGACCACCATCCTATGTGGATTGATGGGTTACCCAAAAAGTTTGTGGGTTTGGGCCAAGAAGAAATAAATGGAACTTCTCAGGGGTCGGGTGGTGGGTAGAGGGTGCCTTGGAGCAGTTTGGGTCTGTGGAGAGAGTTGGAGTTTGGAGGCCTGCACAGGGAAACCTAAAATTGTGTTGGAGAGGAAAACATATCTAGACATAGTAACACCAGATATATATATGTAATAAAGTCTTCCTAGTAGATGGTAGCAAAATGCTTGTTCAATACATCCACACAGATATCTGATCCACAGACGTGTTCAACATCTCAGCCAAAGATACACAGTATATGAAGCAAGTAATAGAGGGGAATCTGCACGTGACTTGAGACATTCTTCCCGCTCTCCTTACAATAAAACAATATTCTCTAACTTTCCTCAATGGAAAGGTCTCCATTGCTTTAAACATCCCTTGTGCCCGGTATCTCTCCCATGCTATAAGACCAAAGTTCTCCACTTGGAGACCAAGCCAACCACAAGCTCCAAAGGTGAAAAGATTAAGCCACATGTTCCTCCGGTTCAAGGCTCCAGGATTTCCTAATTCTGGTCACCCGTCCACCGCACCTGGCAAACGTTTATATGTCTCAGAGACCCTGTTGGCGAAATAGCCACGTGAACAAAAATTTCAAATGACATCTTCTCCACAAATAGCCCCCGCCCGCACATCCTGCGTTATTGCTGAAATTTAAAGAGAATGTTTGATGTCATTCTAACATATTTATATAACATATTTGCTGTTTCATATTCTGATGAATGTATTTCATACACTAACCTGAGGGGCTCCCACTATCCCTGTGCTGAGTTCCCGGGTCTTACACCTGCTGTGCCCATTATGAGGGGCTCCCATTGAGGGTATAGCGTACATAGTCTGGAGTCTGGATATTAAGGAGTTAATCCACATACATTGGAATCTGGTCATTGGTTATGCACATATCATAGAGATCAGTGGATTATGGATTGGGGCGTTGCAGTGAGGTATGGTGATATGAACACATGGGAAAGAAGGCTCAGGAGGAGGACAGGCTGAAGCATGGAGCAGGAGCAGCAGGTGAGATCAGGAAAAGGACCACCGGATTTACTCTCCCTGCTGCCCCAAGGACAGGTTTCTCAATGCGCCCCCCTGTATGCAGGCAGCATACAATTGATCTTGGCGACATCGCCGAGATCACTTGTACAAAACAAGCGGTGGCTTCCCTAAAATGGTGGGCTAAATGTAGAAAACAACCACCCCCCTGCGTCCAGAACTGCATGTCCCGGGCATCGGGAGATAGGAATTCCACACCCCTGTTGCCCCTCGACTCACTGCTGCCCCGAGGCCGGGCCTCGGTTGGCCTTGTGGGAAATCCGGCCCTGAGGACCACAGAGTGTGAAGTCCACATGGCGCAGGAGACCAGAGAATGGGGCAAGTGACTGGAGGACAGAATATGGAACCAGGGACTGGGGGATGGAATCCTTATAGTCCTTAAACTTATACATAGTGGGTGTATAAGTTTCAGGAAAAGGTTAAGTAAAAGTTGCTGTAGACAGAGTCACAGGAAGACCAGAATAGTAAAGAAAAACTTCTCACCCCAGCACACCGTCCTTGTGTCGGGAAATAGACCTCCATTAAATGATCAAAATAAACTACAACATCATGGTGACTGAACAAACATCTATTTCCTGACACGCTCACATCAACCCCAAGTTCGTCCCTACTGGTCATTATGAATCATTGCATGTGCTCCAAAGATTGGTCACTATAGGTTGATGCATGTACTCTGGAGGCTGGTCACTGATGTTTAAAGGGTGAATGTACTTTTAACGCGGCAACCATGCACAATTCCATGCAGATTGCCGCACGGTCACGGAGTCGCCCAGCACAGATGGTCGCGCTGTGGGTGCCATTATTTTCTAATGGCACCCCAGTCGCGCCGGGTGGATCGTGCGGTTTCCTGCCGCAATTCCGCCCGTGAATCTGAACACGATGCCGGTTAAAACAGCCGAGCGTCGTGTATCGCAAAACAAAAGGAACATGTACCTTTTTTCTGCGATTGCCACGCGGATGTCAGCCGATTGAAATCAATGGGGCCGCGCGGCAATCGCTGTATGCATTGTGCAGGACTGCGCATCCCGCATCGCTCAGGTCTGCATCGGGTCTAATTGTCTTCCCTCCCTCGGCAACAACTCAAATTTGACTCTAATATTTAGAGTCTAAGCATTTGGGTTCAATCACATTTTTCTAATTTGAATTACAATTGACATTGCATTTATTGGGGGGCTGTTTTTCATGGTCATGGCCTTCAGAGTGCTTCCATACAAGTCTACTTGGACCCAAACGACACTGGAAGCCTCCAAAGCCCCCCACTAAATGCTAATTTGTTTGTTTCAGATGAAGGTTATTACATGAGGTGTCCGACATAATGGATGTACAGCTTAAACAATGTACAGTACACTAGTTTTATTTTCTACATATTTTACTGTTATTTGATGTTTCTTCACATAAAACTGTAAAATAAACTCAACATTTTTTATTGTCTCTTTTATTATTATATGGTAAGAAACATCAACTAACATGAAGTTTCAAAATCGCAAACTCCCCATTTATCTGATGCTCTCTGTATAGGTGTCCTGGATGTGGGATTATTCCACCATCCTTGACAAAGTCCCCAAAGGCGCATTCTACAGGTTCCCATTATGTTTAGTGAATGGAGTACCGCTAACGAAACCTATTGCCGACCAATGGGAAAGGGTGGAAGAATTTAAAGCAAGACCAGATGATCTCCTCATCGCGACTTATCCCAAGGCAGGTAAGAGAGGTTTGGGTCTGCACTCGATTTTCTCTCTGGCCCATTTTGATTGGAATATTTTTTCTAAATCAATACAGCATTCAAACTAAAAAGCATGAATCATCGGATAAAAGAGGGATATACGTTTCTGCATCAAATGATTTGGTTGTTCAAGAGAGCAGAATCTTATCATGACGGCCAAAGTCAGGACAGGCAACGTAGGCTCACGTCAAATACAGGCAGAAATCCAAAGTGAAGACAGGCAATGTAGGCTCAGGACAAGTGTCACGGTACCGTGCACAAGTGTCCCCGCACCGCATGCAGGTACCTACACGGAAAGACCAAACACGTACGGCCACACTGGACAAGGCAAATGTGTTATATCCAGTTTATTGTAAACAGCACAACCAAAAAAAACCAAAAGCTAACGTGACACCCACTAAATATAACCACCAACACCTACAACCAATAACAGGAGCAAATAGCTTAATACAGCTAACAATAACAGGACTACAAGCAGGTATCAGGACTTATCAGGTCTATAATCAGGTGACAGGACTGGGGACTCAGGATACACAGGAAACAGGACTGCAAACAGGGTTCAAGTTTCGGGACTGGTAACAGGCCTCACAGGAAACAGGACTGGAAACAGGATTCAAGGTTCAGGGTTCGGGACTGGTAACAGGCCTCACAGGAAACAGGACTGCAAACAGGGTTCAAGGTTCAGGGTTCGGGACTGGTAACAGGCCTCACAGGAAACAGGACTGCAAACAGGATTCAAGGTTCAGGGTTCGGGACTGGTAACAGGCCTCACAGGAAACAGGACTGCAAACAGGGTTCAAGGTTCAGGGTTCAGGACTGGTAACAACAAGTGCAGCAAGTAAACCAAAGTTAGGAAAGGCAATGTAAGTTCAAGTTAAGTGCGGGAAGCAGGCAAAAGTCAGGGCAGGCAATGTAGGCTTGAGGGCCGGTGCACACCTAGGCAATTTATTGCGTGGTTTGAGTCACGCGATATCGCATAAAACACAGATGCGCATTGAAGTCAATGGACTGTTATCACTTTTTTCTTCTGAGGTCTCTCTAGGCACTACATGGATGCAAGAGATTGTGGACTCCATAATGAATGATGGGGAGCTAGAGAAGAACAAGCGCGCTCCCACCCATGTACGTTCTCCATTTCTGGAGAATACTCCTCCGTCTCCTATTGCTTCAGGTAAGCTTGGGTTCAGTTTTACACAGCTCGGTTCATGAAACGCTGAACTTGATGTTGACGTTTGTTTCTTCAGGGGTAGATGTTTTGAATAATACTCCGTCTCCCCGACTGGTTAAAACTCATCTGCCATCTGAACTGGTGCCAAAATCTTTTTGGGAGCAGAAGTGTAAGGTAGGCGTAACGCTACACCCCTTTGAAAAGTGATTTGCATAAACATAGCATGTTCTTTAGGTAGAAAAAAGGTTTGCTTGATTCAACATTTCAATGATCTGCTGGGTACCACCATCAAAACTTATGGAAGAACCACCTGTACTATTAAAAATAACCATGCCTGCCATGCACCTTGAAAGACATTGCCCAGTCAGGATGCTGTCCTGTTCATAATGGCCACTGGAGCCCATGAGAAAAGACCTTTCTGGTGACAAGTGCTAAAGGTTTAGTCAACTTGAAGGGTTAGTCTACCCAACTCTGAGGTTTCAGTTTTTGCAGATGCTGGAGAGTTAAACGTCTTGGCAGTTTCTTTTATTTTTTTTGCAGACTTGGTGAGACCTCTACACTGAGATTCATGACTTGCACACCTTCTGTGGCCATTATGAGGTCTTCCCAATGAACATGCTTCCTCTAGTCCTTGACACCGGTGGCCATCGCGTCCCCCATGAGGTGTTATTTCCCATAAATTCTGACTAAAACAAAGCTCCACCAGGGGAATAACCGGTTTGGTCAATAGAGTTTTTGACTTACCAGCATAATTTGATTCCCCAGAACCTGTGTAGATAGAAAGACTTCCCGAATGCCAACATTTTAAGGATAATTTTGAGCACCTGCAAAATGTTAATGGTTTATTCTTCTGCTTGCAGACAATTTATGTTGCTCGGAATGCAAAGGACAATGCAGTGTCCAGGGGTGTATCTACTGCAAGGCAAACTAGGCATTTGCCTAGGGTGGCACTTTCCAGGGAGGCGGCAGAGAATGTCACCCTAAACCAATGAGGCGGAGAGGGCCGGACTTACCATTGAGCATACTGGGCACTTGCCCGGTGGGCCGAGGCTGGGTGGCACAGAATCAGGCAGTGGCGGCTGCCTAATGAGGCAAACTAGGCGGCCGCAAGGCCTTAAAATCGCCTGCCTAATTAGAGAGCTGCGGAGTTGAGTGCCCAGTGAGATGCGGTCCATCTGGCTTTGTACAGGAGGTGGAGGAGAAGCAGCTGGTGCATCGGGGCTGGCCATGGCATGTGATCTGATGGTGGGATGACCCAGAAGCAGGCTGGGGGACTGTAATGTATCCTGTTGTTACTGATGGCACTTTGGGCTGCAGGTAAGAGGAGCAGCACAAGTATGCAGGGAAAGGGACTCTGCACAGTCCTCCTGAGACCTTGCACAGCCCACCATAGACCCCACACAGCCCACCACAAACCCTGCACAGCCCACCAGAGACCATGCACAGCTCTCCTGAGACCCCGTGTGTGCTGTATCCAGTGACTGACAGGTTACGCAAAATGTCCTAAACAGGAAGGGGTGGGGCAAATTTAGACTGAGGGGGGTGCCCGAGTTTAGTCTTGCCTAGGGCAGCACAAAACCAAAATACACCACTGTCGTATTATTTCTTTGATCTGATGAACAAGATTCAGCCTGATCCCGGGACCTGGGAGCAGTACATGGAAAAGTTCCTGAAGGGTGAAGGTATGTGTAGACTTTAAGTCCGTCAAAAGCCTCTAGTGTTTCCTTTCAGAGCCATAAACATGCATGTTCAAGCCAAGTTGGCATGTTAAATGTCTAAAAAGAAATGTAATTGACGTCTTTTTTACTGGTAATTGCAACTGGTAAAACTAACAGGGTTATTCACAGAAGGGTGAAGGGTTTGGAGAAGGCAGAAGGGAACAATCTAGGGGCCAAAATAACTGATTTGGAAATGTTCTCCAATTCAGCTCTCTTTCCAGTTCAGCGATGTTGTCCTAGATTGTTCACTTCTCCGGCCTTCTCCAAACTCTTCACCCCTTTGTGAACAACCCTGCAGATTTCTCCTGTACTCTGATAGGCAGTGCTGGGGAGGGCTGAGGGACTGAGCAGAGCTTCTACATCATCTCCCTAACTCCTGCAGATTGAGCAATATGCTGTCATTCTAAAGGGCTGTTGCTGGAGCTAAGAGTGTTTTTTACTGATAGGCCTATCAACGGCGCCAGCATCTAAGTAGCGTCTGCAGAAGGAAGAGCCTAACAAAGGAAGCTCCTATCCAATAGTTCTTCTTGCACTTACAAAATGTTGCCAGGGTATCTAGAATAACAGAGAACACTATAGAACAGGGAAGGGTTGGAGCCTTTGCTAGTTGTCACCAGGATAGAGTGCGAGGGAAAATCCAAAATTTTGCAACGTTTCTTTTTAACTGGAAGTGGAGAGGAATCCTCTCTATGGGGACTTAGATAGCAATAAAAATCTGACCTATACCTATTCCTATACCATCCCCACTCTATCCAAAATGAAGAGGGAAACAAGCTTGAATTCCTCTTTAACTAATATCTAAAGCCAAGTTTTTGTTTTTTTATTCAGAGTAGGGAGGGGTCCCAATGAAGAGCTTTCCCTTCACTTCCTTTCCTACAGACACATGAGGAAGTGAGGGGAAATCCCCTTTTTGCCACTTGTCACTGGAATAGGACTTTGCTCCTGCAGTAGAGGGATGGCCTGTTCAAGCCTAGGGGGCTTTAGTGAGCAGGCGTGTGTAGCCCAGGCATTAGGTTTTTACCGGTGAGGGATGCAAACAGCATGGACGCCTGCAACCATCGGAGGAGATAAGTACAGACCTGCAGGAGGGGACCCAGCTGACTGTTTCGGGGATGGGAAGGGGGTGCCCAGCTGACTTTACTGGGGATGGGAAGGGGGTGCCCAGCTGACTGTATTGGGGAAGTGAAGGGGGTGCCCAGCTGACTGTATTGGGGAAGGGAAGGGGGTGCCCAGCTGACTGTATTGGGGAAGGGAAGGGGGTGCCCAGCTGACTGTATTGGGGAAGGGGGTGCCCAGCTGACTGTATTGGGGAAGGGAAGGGGGGTGCCCAGCTGACTGCATTGGAGATGGGAAGGGGGTGCCCAGCTGATTGCATTGGAGATGGGAAGGGGGGTTCAGGGATTTTTGATTAAACACGAACCTGTATTTTAAATATTGCAGAAAGTTTGAACCGCCACTAAATGTATTCTGCACTAAATGTATTCTGAAAGACTGGAACTGTATTATTTATTAATAAAGCCTTAAAATGTTCTCTTGACGTGACGGGAACGAGGGGTCACACCATTGGAGAAATGGCTGCACGCCTGAAAGCCCTTCTCAGCAGATGAAGTGCACTTAGAGGTCTCTGTACCCGGGAAAAGTGACAGAGTTCTGACTCTCATTCCTTTCTTCCGCAGTGGCCTGGGGAAACTGGTTTGATCATGTGAGTGGCTGGTGGAACGCCAAAGACAAGCACGAAATCCTCTATGTGTTTTATGAAGATATTAAGAAGGTGAGGAGGGGAGCTGAAAGGTAAAGCCGGGGATAGAAGTCTTTTCATTTTAAAACTGATCGATTAACTATCTCACCAATAAATCTATTTTTCTTTTTATATGCAGGCAGTGAAAAATACTTCAGTTTGACCTGGTTTCAGCCTTGTGTAGTCTTCTGTACAGCTGAGCTTAGAGAGAGGGAGGGAGAAGCAGCACAAAGAGTCAGTAAGGTGTGCTGCAGTGGAGCATGCTGACAGGAGGAGAGGGTACAGTGGCAGCGAGATAAGTTCATGAGTGTGTTGCTTCTCTTCCCGCTGTCCAGTCACAGGATGGGGAGGAAACCTGTAAGTGAAAGAGAAACTGCATCAAAGGTCAGGTCCCCTTCCCTTCTAGACAGGCCTGTGCTATGAGGAAGAGCTGTGTAAATGTCAGGACCCGGTGGACAGAAATACCAATCCTTTGGCTACCATATATCTATTTAATCTGAGTATTGCCTGGAGTTCAGCTTTAAACATATCATGAACATAACCCCATGCCAATTATTATGTCACTGTAATATATTCAGTGTCACTGGTCAGTTTATATGTAGACACTTTTTTTCGGTGACGTGGCATCAATGCTATCCATTTACGGGGCATTGTGTGTGGTGGTTGTGTGGTGGGGGTTCCAGCTTTTCATTTGTTGGTTATGTTGATGATGGTTGTCCTCAAAGCTTCTTAGCTTCAGCCCATTTTCGGGAAGGTGGGTAGTTCCAGCCTCTCCTCTGTTGGTTATGTTCATGATGGTTGTCCTCCATGCTTCTTAGCTTCAGCCCATTTCCGGGAAGGAGGGTAGTTCCAGCCTCTCCTCTGTTGGTTATGTTCATGATGGTTGTCCTCCATGCTTCTTAGCTTCAGCCCATTTCCGGGAAGGAGGGTAGTTCCAGCCTCTCCTCTGTTGGTTATGTTCATGATGGTTGTCCTCCATGCTTCTTAGCTTCAGCCCATTTCCGGGAAGGAGGGTAGTTCCAGCCTCTCCTCTGTTGGTTATGTTCATGATGGTTGTCCTCCATGCTTCTTAGCTTCAGCCCATTTCCGGGAAGGAGGGTAGTTCCAGCCTCTCCTCTGTTGGTTATGCTCATGATAGTTGGCCTCCATGCTTCTTACCAAAACTTTAATGTACAGGACACAAAACGAGAGATACGTAAGGTGATGAAGTTCCAGAAGAACCTCTCAGAAGAAGCTTTGGATAAGATCTGCCACCACACCTCGTTCAAAGCCATGAAGGAGAACCCAATGGCAAACTATTCCACTATTCCAAATATGCTGCTGGACCAGACCGTCTCGCCCTTCATGAGGAAAGGTTATTTGTTAATGTTAATGTAAATGTTATTTAAATGGTTTACGCCCATTGAAAACAAAAATTCTCAATAAAAAGTGTTTGTTCACCTTTTTCCCCAAAAAAAACGAATCAACATTCAGGGAGTAAAGTGGGCGGAGTCTCTGCCACAAATTTCTACCATCTTGGCCAAAACCTGATATTTATATTTCGCCACAGCAACGGTGCTGCCAATGGCAATATCATTTGCTCTTCGCAGGGCTACACCAGGGGATCTTCTAGTCATATTTTCAAACATTTATGAGACTGATAGCAATGAAACCAAATGCCGGGGCATAGTGGAGGATCCAGAGACAGAAACAGGTTCAGAAGCTGATAACTTCAGCAGACGGGGCACTTTTTTAAAAATGTTCTTCAGGTTCCCACAGTTAGGCAGGAGGCTCACATTAAAGTGTTCCTGATCTTCACCAGGGACCTGCTTATAGAGATTTGGCCTGTGATCCGTAATATTCCCAGCTCGGGGTCCCTGGGTCTTTCCCACCGGTGCCAACAGACAGAGAAACCAAAGCAAGACACAAAATGGAGTAATCTGAAGACAAGCAAGTCAGGGCAGGCAACAAACAAGACCACGGATACTACATGACCACAGCTCCCAGAGATCACGGTAGCAGAAAGAGTATTCTCAGATGCAGATGCTCAGCTCAGGATATACATGTTACGATACGAGTTACATACATCCAATGATCTAGTTTAGGTAGCAGATGCAGAACATGAAAAACAAAACCAAAAGGTCAAGTTTGTACAGGCACTAGGGCTGGGAAGGAGGCTAGTCTGACAATTGTCACGCAATGTAACAGCAGCACGGAGAGGAAGAATGCTTGTTAAGGCTTGGACGGGTATGAGACTACAGCCAGGGAGGACTGAGGACTAGGAAGGAACACACAACAATAGACACACAGAAGGACCAGAAAATACAGAAAAAGAGGTAAAAGAAACAAATCCAAGTTTGAGAACCATCACATCAACTTGATTAGTCCACCACCCCCGTGCAGACAAGCGTAGGGCAGGAGATCTGATGCGTACAAGGTTCCATAGGAGGACCTTGTTGACTTTGACTGAAGTCACCACAGTTCTCTTTCTCTGCAAGGATCGTCATATCTTTTCCTAGCCGATGTTATTATGTCTCCATTTTTTGTTCAGGTGAAGTCGCAGACTGGATTAATCACTTTACAGAATCCCTCTATTGAACAAAGTTCAATAGAGAGGACTGCAGTTCTACTTTTCTTCAACATCCTCCATGTCCTTTGCTGGCTGATCTTATTGTCTTTGAACCTTTAATGCAGGTGAAGTCGCAGACTGGAAAAATCACTTCACAGAATCCCAGAGTAAAATGTTTGACGAGGAATACGAAGAGAGAATGAAAGGAACCGACCTGAAATTCCGTACCAACATCTGAAGAGGAATTTTTGGAGTCTGGAGATGATACAGAAAATGATTCTTGTGTAAACACAAACACAAGCAAGAAGGCCTCTGCTGTAGTCCTGCATTAGTTTGGGTGCAAACAGTATCCAATCAGACATCTGATCCACTGGAGTGTCAAAGCCAATAGATGTAGCAAGTGGTGCAGGAGAATCTGTATGTGCGAATGCCCATTCTTACCACCTGCATTTTAATAAAACTACATCCTACACCTTTGCTCACAGGAAAGGCCTCCAAAAACATCCTCTGCGCCCGGTATCTTCACCATGTTCTTTCCTGATGTCCTCCACTTGGAAACCATCCAGACCCAGAAATGTCAGGTTGAGGGCAACAGGACTTCCTCCGTCTGGCTCTTACCTAAATGTTTATTACATTTCAGAAACCAATCGTTGTCAGACGGGAAGAAGGAAGTCCTTTGCCACACCATGGAACACAGGACATGGATCTACTGCATATGTGGTCAGCTTGGTCTTCTACATGTGTTCTTCTACAGCTTGGTCGTCTACATGTCCTGTGTTCCATGGTGTGGGCCACATCATGGAACACAGGACATGGATCTACTGCATATGTGGTCAGCTTGGTCTTCTACATGTAGTCTTCAATATGTGGTCTTCTACAGTTTGGTCTTCTACATGTCTTGTGTTCCATGGAGTGGGCCACACCATGAAACACAGGACATGGATCTCCTGCATGTGTGGTCAGCTTCTTACATATGTAAATATAACTATAAACTGTAAAATGTCATCAGCAGATAAGTAATGTCACCTTTGGTTTTCATAATGTTGTAGGGCTGTGCTCCCTACAAGCCTTACTTTTCCTGTTTCAGAATCCTGTCTTCAGATTCTCTGCGTGTTACATTATCTGGCAGACTCTGCTGAGTAGACTCCAGACAATTGTGTGATGTGGAGACTTCTGCATGTATTGTTAGCTCACCAATCCCTGATGAAGTTGCCATTAGGAGATTGGGTCTCCCTAACAAAACAGGTTCTTAAATAGGGTCCTGTCCAGTCTGCAGGCTATGTACCTGGTTAAAGGCCTCTGGGCTGGTGACCACGCTTAAAGGGCTTGTGCCTGGAGGATCAGACTGTGTGCCTTCTCGGCCTTTTGGCTAAGATCAAGTGTAGTATCTGTTCTTATCAGTTGTCGGGAATAGAACGGCCGCCGTTGCCTAAGGAGAGGGGTAGATGACGGCTTAGTAATTCCTGGCGTAATTGGTGGGGTACTGGATGAGGTTCCAGGCCATCGGAGCTTTCGACCCTTGTGATGGGTGGGCTCCGGAGGAGGGATCTCTGAAGGTGCCCTGCCTCCTGAGAGGAATGGATGCGAAGCTTGGTCTGGCTGGAGGGTTTGGGGCGGCAGAAGCCTGTGGTGTTGTGCCCCCTGGGGGGTGGCGTCCCAGGGGTGCTCAGGTAGTCACTTCGGTGTGGGACCCCACATTGACTCACTTGATCACTCGGTCACACACCACATTGCTATTTTCTGCACAACGCCTCTTGGACAGGCCTTATGGCTAGTCCGGGGCAATTTTTTTGCACTCGGCCCCTAAGGCCTGTCAGCGTGGTGCACTGGCACTTTAGTATTATTTATTGCACTTAATGCACTTAATGGCTTTTTTAAAAAGCGTTATTTGACCCACAGATGCTGAAGGTGCAGGTTTCTTCGGGGCCTATTCCTGACGCTGGGAGGAGATTCTGTGCCCTTATATAGGGTTCTCTGTCTCCTCCCACCAGGAGGGGGGTCTCTCTTCGGGAGAGCCCCCCTGCCTAGTACTGTGTGGGACCTGTTTCGGCAGGTCCCCAAAGGATCGGGGGCCCACCGGCCTTCGGGTTGGTGGACCAACAGTCTCAACCCCTGTCAGGAGCCTTGCGCCCCGGGGGGTCGGGAAATTAGGTCCCTTCTTTTGAAGGACCTTGCACCCTTGTGCACGTTTTTGTGTACTGTGATTTCACGGTTCACTTTTTTTTGTTCACAGGGGGAAGTTTGTTTTGATGCACGTCCACGGAAAAGAAAAAAATAAATCAGACTGTGTGCCTAAGAAGCCATGCCCTAAGAATGCAGTTAGAGGACTGGAGCCGGTTTAGTTTTCTGTTTTTGCCTTTTTTCAATCCTTTATTTCCCCCTGGTGATCCTATGCCACATTCTCATCCTTCCACCTCAAGTTGCAATGAAGTGTTTGAAGGATACTTGAAGATTGTAAGATTAAGCTAGGAGAATGGCCTTTGTTCAGTACGATTTCAAAAAAAGATTCTACCTGTAAAGCCCAAGGCAGAGTGTCATTGGCTCCTACTACAGAGTGCTGCCATGCAGGGAGATTACAGAAGACTCACATAAAGACCGGATTGGGTACTTCTGGTAGTTCTAGGTTAAAATATATCTGTCCGGCGTTATGCTTTAAGAACTGTAACTGTGTTAAAGTTGATGTGACTGTCATGTGCAGAGCTGATTATCAGTCACGGAATGATAACATGTGCAGCCGCCACCTATGTCCCCAGTAGCCATATAAAGTGAGAATTTGCTCTTTCACCTCCTCTATGGAATTCTCACCTTTAGACTGAATCTATTGGAACAAACACGGGTATAGTCTTCTCACTACCAGGTGACCAAAAGACTGCAGTCTTCCTCCTCGTTCACCTGATTTGAACCTTTGCAATGAACATGTAGGGTTCCCCATGTCGACAACCAACATGTCAGAAGCATTCATCATAATGCCTATGGTCTTATTTATCAAGCTGCAGTATCACAAACAAAGCTTGCATAATAAATAGACACGCAGAGGGTCTACTAATAAATCCTCCAAATATCTGTGAATGTTTGTTCTGTGCAGATGTAAGCCAAAATTAATGTTTTTTGGTTGTTTTTCTTTACAAGAGAAATTAATTTTCGAATATTCTTATTTAATATCGCCAGTAGATGGAGCTAAGGAGCATGTGAAATAAGTATTTCTATTATGGCCACTAGAGGGAGCTAACGAGCTTGGGAAATAAATATTTCTATTATGGCCACTAGAGGGTGCTGAGGAGATAGGGGTACTAAATATTTCTATTATGGCCACTAGAGGAGCTGATGAGCTTGGGAACTACATATTTCTATTATGGCCACTAGAGGGAGCTGAGGAGCATGGGACATAACTGTTTATTTCCTATGTTTCTCAGCGGCGTCTAGTGGCCATAATGCAGTATTACATGAAAAAAGTAAAAATATTTTGCCTTGTAAAGAAACAACTAAAGAATGTTTGTTTTGGCCTATAGCTGCACAAAATAAACATTCACAGATATTTGCCGGGTAAACGACCCTTCCAGTTGTTTATAAATAGACCCCTTAAATTGTATGTACAGCCAAACTGGTGGATTATGGTTTTGGGTGTTGCAGTGTGTTATGGTGTTAGGAACACATGAGAAGGGGAGCTCATGAAGAGCATGGAGCGGGAGCAACAGATGAGGGCAGTACAGGAAAGGGGACTCTGGGGATACAGATCGAAGGGCACAGGACATGAGAGATCATAGACGGCTACTGGGAGAGAAAATATGAGACCAAACAACAAGAGAGGGCATCCTTATGCTTGGGAGTCTGGTCATTGATGGGTTAATGTTAGGGTTGCCACCTTTTCTTTCAGCAAAACCCGAACACTCTAGCGGCGTATGGAAATTTATTTGGGAGAATGAGTCTCGGGTTATTCATAAGTAAATATCACAGTCAGTAGCCCCTATCTTAATTATGGTTGCCTTTGTCTGCCTGACATCTTGTGTCCGGGTTTCAGCTGGCATAAAACCCGGACACAGCATTCAAAACCCGGGTGAACCCCGGACAGGTGACAACCCTAGTTAATGCACATACAATGGAGACTGGTCATTGAGGGGTAAATATATATACACTGTACTCTGGTTGGGGAGAGGTTAATGCATTTACTTTGGAGTCTGGTCATTGAGGGGTTAATCTGTTAAGGAAAAATCAACACTGAGGCAGTAGTTCAAAATTGTAATCTCATTTATTTCACTTGCTATAGAAAGAGGTAAAAGGTAATACATAGAAACAAGTTAACCAATAGCAATACATGTAAATTGATCAGTCAGCATGTAGTGAAGTTAACCAGTCGGAGAATGTTGATGTAACTACAGACAATTCTTATCATATCTTATGAGACCATCTTGAAGCATAGAAGCAGACATTCCCACATTCTAGGGAATGGGGCCCATGGTAAAGTTTGGTCAATGCTGTGGACGTGGGGCCCTGCTGGTCCTTGACTGAGAAAGTCACACATACAGTGTCAGCAATAATATAACATAATAGAGCAAATCAAATAGCAACGAAGAAATGCAAAAATCTCTCTGAATGCCCATGCACAATAAACGGGACATTAAAGGGTTAATGCACAAAGCCTGGAGACTGGTCACTGATAAGTCATTGCACATAAAATGAACTCTGGTTATGAAGGAGTTAATAAACATAGACTGAGTCTGGTCGTTCATGAGTCTTCGCACATTGGCGTCTGCCCATTGAGGAGTTAATGCATATACACTGTAGTCCGGGTCATTGAGGGTTTCATGCACATACACACACTGAAGCCAGGACATTGAAGGGTTAATGCACATATAATGGCGTCTGGTCATGAAGGGGGTTATTGCACATACACTCTAGCCTGGACATTGAGGGGTTAATGCAGGGGTTAATGCACATACACTCTAGCCTGGACATTGAGGGGTTAATGGGCATACACTGAAGGCTGGACATGAAGGGGTTAATGGGCATACACTGAAGGCTGGTGGATGTGTTTTGGGGCGTTGCAGTGAGGTTTGGGGTTGGGAAACACATGAGAAGGAGAGCACAGGAAGAGCATGGAGCCGGAGCATCAGGTAAGAGCAGACAGGGGGAGATCACAGGGCACAGGAGATCAGAGACCAGGACTGGGAGAGGGACTATGAGACCAGGGACTAAGAGAGGGCCTCTTAGACCAGGGACTGGGAGAGGGACTATAAGACCAGGGACTGGGAGAGGGACTATGAGACCAGGGACTGGGAGAGGAAGTATGAGACCAGGGACTGGGAGAAGGACTATAAGACCAGGGACTGGGAGAGGGACTATGAGACCAGGGACTGGGAGAGGAAGTATGAGACCCGGGACTGGGAGAAGGACTATAAGACCAGGGACTGGGAGAAGGACTATGAGACCAGGGAATCCATACCATGGGTGTGCAGTCCAAGAGCCACAGGAAGCATGCCATCCTTGTGTCAGGAAAGAGACGTCTATCACACATATACAATGCATACATGTGTGTCGTGGTGTCACGCAATCCTACTACAGAGCAATTTTATGTAATCTGAATCTCTAGAAGAGGGGGATGGGGATGGGGATTGGGAATGGGGGGAGGGGTTCTTCACCCTGCTATGTAGTAAAATGTAACGATAAGTTTGATGCTTTCCTATCATTGGAATCAAACAATATAACAAATACTAACACAGTCCTACATAAAATAATGTTTTTCGTGCCGTAATCCGGAATTCATAACTTTTTATTCCTTATAAACTCTTTACCTCTCAGTAGTGCCCTCGTCCAGGTCGCTTGTCTTTAACTCGGTTGGCGATCACCATCTGTAAAGATCTGATTGTCAACTTTTAAACTTATAGGATTACAACCTTCCGGACGTAACCAAAATAATGTAGATTTTCACATGGAGTCTGTATAGTCTGCTTGTGTACTTTCCCAGCCTGGACAAATTAAAATGATAGAGACCGATTATTTAGGGTCCTTCACATCTATACATAATCCCTATGGAATAAAACCTAAAACAGTGATTGTCAATCAGGGTTCCATGGAATGCCGGGGTTCCTCCAGAGGTCCCTATGGGTACCAGGGGTTCCTTGAGCGGTGGCTGATTGACCTCCTATCTGATGGTGGCTGTCAACCATTGTCAACCGGGGTTCCATGGAATGCCAGGGTTCCTCCAGAGGTTGGTTCCTCCTATGGGTTGCTTGGGCTGTGGCTGATTGACCTATCTGATGGTGCCTGTCAACCAGGGTTCCATGGAATGCCAGGGTTCCTCCAGAGGTTCCTATGGGTACTAGGGGTTCCTTGAGCGGTGGCTGATTGACCTCCTATCTGATGGTGGCTGTCAACCATTGTCAACCGGGGTTCCATGGAATGCCAGGGTTCCTCCAGAGGTTGGTTCCTCCTATGGGTTGCTTGGGCTGTGGCTGATTGACCTATCTGATGGTGCCTGTCAACCAGGGTTCCATGGAATGCCAGGGTTCCTCCAGAGGTTCCTATGGGTACTAGGGGTTCCTTGAGCTGTGGCTGATTGACCTCCTATCTGATGGTGCCTATCAACCATTATCAACCGGGGTTTCATGGAGTGCCAGGGCTCCTTCAGAAGTTCCAAGCGGTTCCTAAAGCTGTGGCTGATTGACCTCCTATCTAAAGATGCCTGTCAACCATAGTTAACCAGGGTTCCATGGAATACCAGGGTTCCTCCAGAGGTTCCTATGAGTTCCTTGGGCTGTGGCTGATTGACCTATGCGATGGTGCCTGTCAACCATTGTCAACCAGGGTTCCATGGTATGACAGGGTTTCCGCCAGAGGTTCCTGGGGAGTCCTTGAGCTTTTGCTGACTGATCTCCTATCTGATGGTTCCTGGATAGTTCCTGGGGCAATACAATTTAGCAGAGCCATCAGCATGCCACCAAGGACCTTTTTAGCTTGAGTCTCATTCTTCCTACAGACCATCACTGTAAGGAGCACCCTTCATACTGACCCCCAACATAGACAGTAATTAGATATTCCCAGACCAGATGAGGGCTACGACGTTGAAGGAGGGAGGGGGCTGTGCTAGGGAATAGCTGAGTCAACTTTGCTGGCAAGTACAAAGGCACGTTGCCAGTGAATATAGAATCATTTATGGAAAGGAAAAACATGGCAAACTAAGGGTTTAAAATACTTGATTTTTCTGTGCTTTTCTCTGGAATTTTTTTAGATTGGTGACAGGGTTTCTTTAAACTCAACAGGGGCGTGGCCTGGTTATAGGTGGGACTTAAAACCAGTTAATCCACGATATGGAGAGGCTTGAACATGAAGGCATCAATGCACTGGTGACTAGTAATTGAGGAGTTAAAGTGTATGCTTTGGGGACTGATCACTGAGGGGTTAATTCTCATACACTGGATCCTGGTCACTGATGGTTAATGGATGTATTCTGGGGTTACCCTTTAAATGACCCCCTACCCCCAGCAGCAAGTCCCCAAACCTAATACTCACCTGTCATCGTTTCTGCTAGTTCTTCCAAGTGCAGCCCCCAGGAGCCCTCCTGGCCAGGTTCTTCCTCTTTGTGGAGAGATCGTCCACCCTTGGGATGCATAATGGTTGGCCTTTTATGTATGCTTGGTTTCAAAATAAGTGCAAATATGTAACAAATGGAGGTGATAACATTGCAAGCACCTCATGTATCTGATGTTCTCTTTATAGATAACTAAGGAGGGGTTCGCTGCCTTCAACGACCAAGCACCCGAAAAAGTGTTTTACAGGTTCCCATTATGTTTAGTGAATGGAGTACCGCTAATGAAACCTATCGCGGACCAATGGGAAAAGGTGGAAACTTTTCAAGCAAGACCAGACGATCTCCTCATAGCGACTTATCCCAAGGCAGGTAAGAGAGGCTTGGGTCTGGGCTCGGTTTCCACGTGATTGATTTCTCTAACCTTTCATGATTACCGTATTTACAAATGAAAAGGAATTAGTTATTAGATCAAAACGGGGGAATGCGTTCCTGGGTAGAATGATGTGGTTGCTTAAAGGAGAACTATGGGGTTAGGGCTTTTCCCCATAGTTCTCCTCAGGGTAACGGGAGGACACAAACTAGCGTCCTCCCGTCACCCTAAGCTCAGTATACAGAGAGCTACAGCTCGCGGTATACCGAGACGCCGCAGCTGAAACGGATCCCGACAATTATGTCTGGATCCGCCCAGCTGCGTGAGTGACAGCTGGCTCTGCCTATCCAGAGGCAGAGCCAGCTGTACCCGCCCCCTCCCCCATCCGTTCCGCCAGTCAGCGCTGAATGAGCGGGGAGGGGGGAATCCAGTCCCTCCCCTGTCATGGCTCTCTGCCGTGACAGGATCGAGAAGTGAGCGAACGCCGGTATGTGTTCTCTCACTTCCCGATTTACTGAGCCGACCTGTGCCAGTCTCATTGTCACAGGTCGGCTAGAACTATGAGGTGAGTGGAAAGCACCCCCCCCTCCCCCCCTCATAGTTCTCCTTTAAGAACAGAATTTTATGACACTGGTTCTTTCATAAGGTTAATGGCTTATGGTTAAAACCAAGAGTAGGATGCCGGCCAAGGTCGGGACAGACCAAAGTAGACACTCCTGTACTTTTGTAAGGAGATCTACAAAATGTGCACTGCTGGTGGGGGCCTGGGGACATTTTAGAACTTCTGATTTATTATTTATTTATAAAAAGGTATTTATAGAGCGCCGACATTTTTACGCAGCGCTTTACATAGTTGCACATTCGCATCAGTCCCTACCCTCAAGGAGTTTACAATCTAGGGTCCCTAACTCACATGCAAACATAGAGGGCCAACTTAGAGAGGAGCCAATTACCCTGATAGACTTTAAAGTGACATGAAACCCTGAGATTTTTTAACATAAAACAATAGTGTAATGTGCGCCTTCCTGTAATCCATGGTTGTTTCCCTTCTCTTTGCTGCTCTTCCTTTTAAATCTGTATCTGTTCTCATGCTTGGGCAGAACTTCTGTTTTGCAGCAGACTGCCTTGTCTCTGGAATGTATACACGGTGTCTGTGTGAAGGTTCACAACCTGAGCCAGCACTACAGTAAGAGGCAGTCAGCTGCAAAGGGAAGTTCTCCCCCAGCATGAGAAGACATGAGGATTTAAAAGGAAGAGCAGCAAAGAGAAGGGAAACTACCATGGATTACAGTAAGGCACACATTACAGTATTGGTTTATGTTAAAAAATCTGAGGGTTTAATGTCCCTTTAAGTCTACAATGTTTTTTTCTCTTTTGAATTTTCTTTCTTCTGCGGTCTCTCCAGGCACTACATGGATGCAAGAGATTGTGGACTCCATAATGAACGATGGGGAGCTAGAGAAGAACAAGCGTGCGCCCACCCATGTACGTTCTCCATTTCTAGAGATTATCCCACCGCCTCCCTTCCCTTCTGGTAAGCTTGGGTTCAGTTTCACACAGCTTGGCTCATTTGTACACCGGTCTCGGGGTTGACAATATGATTCTTTTTTTCTTTAGGAATTGATATTTTAAATAAAACTCCGTCTCCCCGACTAGTTAAAACCCATTTGCCGTATGAGCTGATGCCAAAGTCTTTTTGGGAGCAAAAGTGTAAGGTAGGAGCGAGGATGGGATCAACGGTCACACCTGAACGGAGAATGTGGTGCATAAAGATTAGAAGTGCACCGAAATAGAAATTGAAAAAAACAAAACCGAAAAAAATTATTTGTCAGGCCAAAACGGAAATTTTTTTTATTTTCATTTTTTTTCAGTTTTTTTTTTAGTGTTCCTGATCATTCATAACATGAGGACATTGTGTGTTTACTATATCCACAATTATAAATGGACAGGAGGTGATATAGATCGCTCCCATTCATCATAATTGAAGATATAGTTCACATACCATATCCTCAATTATCTACAAACACTCAGCGATCACTGATAGCTAAGTGTTTGTATCCCGCTCTCCTCTCTGATTCGCTGTCACAGGAGGCTGAGCGAGCGGTGCGAGAGAAGAGCTCAGCCTCCTGTGACAGCGCTGTCTCCGCCCCCACACCGCTCTGTCGGACTGTGCTAGGCGAGCGGTGTTGGAGGAGAAACTCCGGCCGCTCACAGCGCTCTCGTCCCGCAGCCCTCGGCCGGCTGTCACTTTCTCTCCTCCCCGCTGGCACACAGAGCAGCGCCCAGCGGGGAGGAAAGAAATCACGGATGCGCCGACGTATCGGCACAAAAATTGCCTTTCGGCATTTAGCCAAAAGTGCCATTTTCGGCCGATATGTTTTCGGCGGCCGATATATTGGTGCATCCCTGTTCCTCTGTTCTTTGACACCGGTGGCCATGGCTTCTGCCATGAGGTGTTATTGTCCATACATCCGGACAAACTTGGAGTGCCACGAGTTTCCAGGAAATAATGGCTTAGCTAATAAAAAAAAAGTTTGACTCCTTGCGTTACTTTGATTCCCCAGAACATGTGAACATCCCAGGAAGGCTTCCTATCACCTCCCTGAAATGAGAAGGACACCTCCCTGAAATGGCTTCTTTCAGGTTGGGATCCCTGAAAAACAGAAGCTTTAAGATTAATTTTACGCCGGTGCAAAAACTTGACAGTGCATTCTATTATCCGCAGACCATTTACGTTGCTCGAAACTTCAAGGACAGCGCGGTGTCGTATTACTTCTTCGATCTGATGAACAAGGCTCAGCCCGATCCCGGGACTTGGGATCAGTACGTGGAAAAGTTCCTGAAGGGTGAAAGTATGTGTGGGCTGAATATTGATTTGTAAAGCAAAGGGTAGATGATGAAATCAGAGTACCAATGGCGGACGTCTTGGGTCTATATAGCAGTGACGTGCGGTACCTCCGCTCCTTGGTGAGGCATTCCCCAGCCCCACCCCCAACATGACAAGCCGTGCCCCTATCACACCAGATCCCCGCCCATATCCCGCCGAAGTTCTACCCCCATCCCGACGAAGCCCCGTGTAGTGTGCAGGAGGAGACAGGGAGGAGCCTCCCTGTCCCTCACTTGCTCATCACTCCAGAGACATCAAAATCGATGGCCTCAGTGGGGTTTTTTTCTCTCCTTTTTTTTGATTGGACGGCTTGGACCAATGGTGCTCTGCCATTGGTCCAAACCATCCACAGAGCTCACGCCTCTAACGCAGATTAGAGGCTATGACCGCTCTTGTCTCACTAGTTAGGTTACGCAAGCAGTGGGGAAGCCCGCTGCTGTGTAACCTAACTACCTGTCAAAAGCCGGATGCAGGGCCACCTGTAATTAACATCCAGCGCTCCGTCCATGACGGGTTACACAGCGGGGAGGATTTCCATGACAGGTTACACAGCAGGGAGGATTTCCATGATAGGTTACACAGCAGGGAGGATTTACAGCTTTTTCCTCCATAATACTAGGTGAGGCTCTGCCCCACCTGCCTCCCCTGACCGCACGTCCCTGCTATATAGAAAATGCTTATTCAGACCCACTATATCCAGTACAAAGTGATGAAATAATGGTTAATAAAAAAAGAGAGGTAATAATAAATTAAAGCGGACCTTGCACTATAGACCAAGGTCCGTTTATTATACCAGGCTCCGCTCACCCATGCTCACCTATCCCTCTGTTCTTTTCAGCAAGTAAAAGATAACGTGCCCTTGGGTTTCTGCGTGCACAGACAGTGACAGAGATTTTGTTGTAATTCACATTCTCTTCTTTCGTAGTCGGCTGGGGAAACTGGTTTGATCATGTGATCGGCTGGTGGAATGCCAAAGACAAGCAAGAAATCCTCTATGTGTTTTATGAAGATATTAAGGAGGTGAGGAGGGGAACCGAGAGGTAATGGGATGAAAGTATTTGTCATTTAAACATATTATGAACATAATCTCATGGCAGTAAATGTGGCCCAGTAATATACAGTACACTCACCTTGCCAATACCAGATTGGACCCCTTTTTGCCTTCAGAACTGCCTTAATTCTTTGTGGCATGGATTTAACAAGGTGCTGGAAACATTCCTCAGAGATTTTGGTCCATATTGACATGATAGCATCACGTCAAAGTGTGCCAAGGAAATATCCTCCACACCATTACACCACTACCAGCCTCCATCCATGCTTTCATGTTGTTTACGCCAAATTCTGACCCAACCATCCGAATGTCGCAGCTGAAATCAAGACTTATCAGACCAGGCCACGTTTTTACAATCTTCTATTGTCCAATTTTGGTGAACTTGTGCGAATTGTAGCCTCCGTTTCCTGTTCTTAACTGACAGGAGTGGCCCCCGGCGTGGTCTTCTGCTGCTGTAGCCCATCTGCTTCAGGGTTGGACGTGTTGTGCGTTCCGAGATGGTATTCTGCAGACCTCGGATGTAACGAGTTGTTATTTGAGTTACTGTTGCCTTTCTATCATCTCAAACCAGTCTGCCCATTCTCCTCTGACCTCCACAAGGCATCTTTGTCAACACAACTGCCACTCAACTCAATATTTTCTCTTTTTCGGACCATTCTCTGTAATCCTGAGAGATGGCTGTGCGTGAAAATCCCAGTAGATCAGCAGCTTCTGAAATACTTAGACCAGCCCGTCTGGCACCAACAACCACGCCACGTTCAAAGTCACTTAAATCCCCTTTCCTCCCCATTCTGATGCTCGGTTTGAACTTCAGCAAGTCGCCTTCACCTCGTCTAGATGCCTAACTGTATTGAGTTGCTGCCATGTGATTGGCTGATTAGAAATTTGTGTTACCAAGCAATTGAACAAGTGTACCTAATAAAGTGGCCGGTGAGTGTATTTTGTATCACTGTAAAGTTTACAAGTATCTCTTGGTGATGGAACATAGATAAATCTGGTAACCGGGAGGTGTGTGTGTGTGGAAGGGTGGGCTGATGGTGGATGATGTATGGTCATGATCATTCTCCTCCGAGCTTCTTACCAAAACTTTTATGAACAGAACCCAAAACAAGAGATACGTAAGGTGATGAAGTTCCTGGGGAAGAACCTCTCAGAAGAAGTGTTGGATAACATCTGCCACCACACCTCGTTCAAAGCCATGAAGGAGAACCCAATGACAAACTATTCCACCGTTCCAAATTTTGTGTTTGACCAGACCGTCTCACCATTCATGAGGAAAGGTAGGGATGCTCTGTAATCGGTTTATTCCTGCTGAAAAGTACTTGAACAACAAAATTCTGATTTTAAAGGGTCTGTCAGCTTTTGTACTGTAATCTGGGTGGCACCTCTGCAACAAATTTCGACCATCTTGGCTGATCTTGAGTTTTAGATTTCCCCACAGCAACGGCACTGCCAAAGGCAATATAATAGGTCCTTGCAAGTAATAGTGTCAAGACCACCAGATATCATTTAGTTATATTTAGGGTTGCCACCTTTTCTTCAAGCGAAACCCGAACACTCCAGCGACGCATGGTCATTTTTGTGGGAGAATGAGTCGTGGCTTGTTCATATGTAAAAAGTGCCGTCCATTCATATGTAAATATCACAGTTGAGACTATTTTCAGTGGGGAGCAGTAGCCCCCTATCTTAATTTTGGTTGCCCCTGTCTGCCTGATATCTTGTGTCCGGGTTTCTGCTGCCATGAAACCCGAACACAGCATTCAAAACCCGAACTGTCCGGGTGAATCCTGGACAGGTGGCAACCCTAGTTATATTGTGAGCTTTTGTGAATCCTAGAGCAATGGATCTAAATATCGGGGCATAGTGGGAAATCCAGAGACATAACCCGGTTCTGGAGCTAGAGGCTGAAAGTGTCAGCAAATGGGACATGGTAGCTGGATTTCCATGGTATCAGAGGTAGGCAGGAAGTTCACATCAAAGCAGTCCAGATCTTCAACAGGGATCTGCTTATAGAGATTTGGGCCATGATCTATGATGTTACCAGGTCATGGAGCTTTGGTGTGTCCCACTGGCAAGGTAAAGAATCCCAGACAGAAGAGTAATCTATAGACAAGCAGGTCAAGCAGGCAGAGTTCAACCATAATATACAAGGCAGAGATAAGGGCCAGTGATGGACAGATGAACAGAGGTACCATAGGGAAAAGCAAGGTAGCAGGCAGGATATACCCAGATGTGAATGCACAGTATAGCACAGGTCAAGATACACAGATCTGATGCCAAAGTTCAGATGGCAAACATGGAACATAAAAGGGAAAGAGAATGGTGGGCTAGGGTCAAACACAGAGGTAATATTTGAATATATACTGGGGATGAATAGCAAATAAGTCAGGTAGTCACATAATGGCTATCTCAAGTGATTGTTAAGGATGGATAGCTGAGACTAGTCATTTCAGAGTCCAACCAAGAACAGAGTAAGGACTAACAAAGAATATGCAACAATGGACTCAGAATGGCCAACTATACAAATTGGCTGAGGTCAAATAATCAAATCTGGGTGTATAAAATGATCACATCAGCTTAATCGTGATTAATTCTACACCCTAGGCAGACAAGAGTAGGACAGAAGATCTGATGCTTACAGAGTTCCATAGAAGGACCTTATTGATGTTAATGTCACTGCAGTTCTATTTTTCTTTAGGGACCTCCATGTCCTTTGCTGGCTGACCTTTATTGTCTTTGAACCTTTAATGCAGGTGAAGTCGCAGACTGGAAAAATCACTTCACAGAATCCCAGAGTAAAATGTTTGACGAGGAATACGAAGAGAGAATGAAAGGAACCGACCTGAAATTCCGTACCAACATCTGAAGAGGAATTTTTGGAGTCTGGAGATGATACAGAAAATGATTCTTGTGTAAACACAATAGGGCAAGAAGGCCTCTGCTATAGTTCTGCATTGATTCGGGGGCAAGCAGTGGGTCTGCACACCTGACATTACCAGGTGAAGCCACTCTCTTATATTATAAGAAAGGGAATGGCAAAAAAAATGAACACCCTGAACTCCACCCCAAAGGTCTACAGGAACAGAACCAGGAGCTATGGTGACCTCACCCAAGATATCTAAGAATCCAAGTGTTGATGCAGAACTGTAAATACATTATGTGGACTGGTAAATAAATATTCCCATGGAGCAGTAGAACCGTGTCAAAGATATCTGCTCCCTCCTGTTTGTAATGTAATGTTTTGAAATGCACAATGTAAATGAGATCCACAGTATGCTGTCACCGTCTTTTAATAAAATTCCCACAAGCATCATTGGCCTGGGCCCATCACCAGGCACCAACTCTGTTACATGGAGTGAGTCACATGTGGGAATTCTTTCAACTGAAAAGAACAGGAAAAGAAATTAAGAAAAACATTAAAAAAAAAAAATGTGTGCCGGCCAACAGGAAACAGTTGGGCGGAGCTAGCTGTCACTGCTAGCTCCGCCCAATCCTCCCCCCTTTTTTAGAAAATCTTTATTTTATTTTATTATTTATTATTTATTTACATTAAAAAAATCAACGTTTTTTCCCCCTACTTTTTTCACTATTTGCTATTCTGCTCATTACAACAGAGGTACAGAGCAGAAAAGCCGAGCCGAATGCTGCTCTGCGGCATTCGGTTATTCACTCACTGCCGTTCGCCCCCTATGTGAATAGGGGCGAACGGCAACGAGTGAGCTGCCGGAGCTTCGGCTCAGCCGATCCAGATGTTGGATGTACAGCCGATGTACGCCTAAAATTAGCCGTACTGAGCTGAAGTGAATAGCCGAACGTTGTTCAGCTCACTTCACTTCGGCTGGGTTATTCACTCAGCTTTGTGAGTAACTCTATATTTCTGGCAGGATCAACAAATATTTGCTGCACTTAGCCTGAGAGATGAAAAAAATTAGTGCAGCCACCACATCTTCGGACTTGTGGCTGATAATATGTGAGTGTTGAAGGTCCGCGCGTCTTCCATACAGAAGAGTCAAAGTCCTGGAGCAAAAGACAAAAGAATAGGCGAAAGGACGGCATGACAGGGTGGGCAGGCAATTCAGGCGGGGACCCCCCCCCCCTGACGTGCCCATCGAAACCAACGGCCAGGACTTCAGGAGAGATGCCTGCCGATCGGAGGGGGAGGCGTCGGCCTCTGAGGAGGACGACCTGACAGAGGAAGGGCAGCTGGATCTGCGGCTGTTGGGGGCGCTCCCAGTCAGCCAGGTGAGACCACTTTTTCTTCCTCTGTTTTAACCCATGCTTGTGTACTTGTTAACCTATGCTTTTGTCAATTTTAACCTATGCTTTGGTACTTTTTAACCTGTTGTTGGCCACCTTGCAACTTGTTGCTTCCCATTTCGGGGTTCCCCTCGCACGGGAAAAGACTGAGGGCCTCATCCACTGACCTTAGCTCCCAGGGCATAGTCATTGATGCCCTGGCGATGGAGTGTCGTTTACCGGGGAATACACTGTTGGACTTGTGTGCGGAGGTCCGGGGGGCCAGTGGTAGGGGTGTGTTGCAATAGGAACATTTGCTATCCCTACGGGGTGGGTCGCATTTTGCTTATAATATCAGTCCTATGGATGGGATTTTGGTAGGTTTGTCTCTGGCACACAGTGATGTTCTGTTGGTTTGGAATTTTTCTTGGAATCCTTCAATGGTCGCTCCTTATGGTGGAGGCCCCCTTTGGTAATGCAGATTTGGAGCTTTGCACTGGCGCTCCCGGTTCCTCGGGTTACGGTGTGTATTTTCAGGGCAGCTGGAGTGCGGAACCTTGGCACGGGGTATGGCGATCGTCTCTCTATTGCAGAACCTGACCCTGTTGATCTTGTTTCCGGTCGTGAGATTTACCTGTGATCATATAGGTTGGTACAAGCTATTGACAGCATTATGGCCTCATCGCCTCCTGTTGTTTGCCTGCTAGGCATTTGGTCTTGTGCTGTTTGCAACTTCATACCTTTCGTTGTGCCACTTCTTTGCCTGGTGTTTCTCTTACCTCAGCTGACTCGCTATCTCGTTTTCGGTGGGATGAGTTCCGTGCGTTTCGGCCACCGTGGGGTTCTTTGTCCCCGTTTATCTGTGGAAGTTGCCTTTGGAGGCCTATTGGGATTGCTTCTAAGTCGGCAAGCTGCTAGACAAGGGCGTCGTATGCAAAGGTCCTGTGGGCGTAGTGAGTATGGCATTTGTTGCAGTACTTTCTTAGTCAACATATTTCACAAGGTGTGTCAGTGTTTTCCATCAATAGAACCCTGTCAGCCCTGGTTCCTTTTTTAAATTGTTGGGCGGGATTTGTTACGGAAGCGTTGTGGTTCGACAAGCGGTCATGGGCTTGCTGAAGGGCCGATGACGCTTGGACGGGCTCTGCCCGGTTACATTTAATATTTTGATTGCTGTTCTTCCACTTTTGAGGCTTCCCTCTTCAGGGTGGCTTTTCTTTTCCCAATTTTGGGGCTGTGTCGTGTCGGGGCTCCCCTTTTTACGCTTTCTATCCAGTTCCATTTGTAGTACTTGTTTAAATAGGGCCCGGTGGAGGCACGGAGGCTGCCAGTTTGGGTTTCGGGGAGGCCGAATGGATGCGCATTGGGAGATGGGGGTCCAAGTGTTCGCGTTTGCGTCTAATGGTCGTTTTTTGTAGCGTTGGTTTTTTCTAGTATTTTGTTTACAATTGGTTGTGCTGTACGATGTTCCGGGACTGTTTTCGCCTTGTCCGTTATTCTTGGTTGTATTGTTTAGGTACCGGCCCTGGTCTAATCTAGGTTCAGGGCCCTTATTAAGTTCGAGGGCCTAACATGCACAGGTCCGACCGGACGGCAGACAGTTGTGTGTCCGTAGCGCTACAGCTACGTTCCGCTGGATAGGTTTGCCTTCGGGGTTAGGAAATCGGGTGGTCTGCCGTCATGCTCGGCTAGACGGGGCTCCTTGGTATACTGCTCCTGCGAGTTGGGGGCAGGGCGTTGGTCGCCGCTCCATGTGCGGGATTCTTAGGGGCATTTAATTTGATTTCGAAGGTTGCGTACTTCATTTCCCGACACCATGGTCATTGGGTCGGAGCTCGTTGCTCGCATCTCCTGGCGTTTAGCTCGGCCCGTTGATTGTTTCCACGAATCCGGGGTTGGAGTGATTAGGGAGGTCGGGAGGTTTGGAATTCGGAATGGGGGTCTGGTGGTTCTTCATCGTGAGCTGGAAGTTGACACTTGGCAATTGCTGCATGGTGAGAGGGTGCGTCTTATGCCATAGGGGCGGACATGTGGTTCTTGGGTCTGCAAGAGGGCATTCAGAGAGCATTGGGTGTGTGGAGGGGCGTCCAAGGGTGAGGTCTCCCCCTTGTTGCTGTGGCGGGTTCAGCAGAGAGAGGTCGAAGAACTATGTGTAGGTAGGTCTCTACTGTTACTTCCTAGGTTGTCCCTGAGTCGGTGTGTTGCGGCTAGGGGGCCAGTGGTTTCAGGGGTAAGCAGAGATCTACTTTAGCTGAGTAAGTGGTGCCTTCACAGACCTCAGGCCAAATTATGTATAGGGATACAGTTGTGGTATATTGTCATATGTCATATTTTAAGTGACAATAATACTTTATGGGATTTTGTAATAAACGGCTGATACAGCCATTTTATATCCAATCCTGTTTGGTCTTTTATTTGGGGAAATGAGAAGTTGAGAAGGGGTCAGATGCTGTAATCAGCTGTTCATGGTTGGGAAAAGATGACTATGCCTTACCCTGTCAAGCACTGTGCAACATGTGACGCTCGCTTGTTTGCTGACCATAAAACAAATTTGCTCAGCGGCTTTGATAACACACGAGTCATAGTCCGGCCATGAGAGCACAGATAGGCCGGGATCATCCGATGGCATCCCGAGCTTCCAATACCGTCAAGAAGATCATCTCCGAAAATGTGACCAGATTGTTTCTCACTAACTTCCACGCAGAGATGATGTTCTGGTCAAAGAAAAGTTTTTTTTTAACACAAAAATTCTGTTTATTGGAAAAAAGATAAATCGTACACACAAACCTGCGATGAAAGCAGACATGGTGGGAGCCCCATTATGAGGAGCTCCCCCCATCCCTGTGCTGAGTTCCCGGGTCTGTACACCCGCTGTGCCCATTATGAGGAGCTCCCACCATCCCTGTGCTGAGTTCCCGGGTCTGTACACCCGCTGTGCCCATTATGAGGAGCTCCCACCATCCCTGTGCTGAGTTCCCGGGTCTGTACACCCGCTGTGCCCATTATGAGGGGCTCCCACCATCCCTGTGCTGAGTTCCCAGGTCTGGCCTATATAGGATCCATGATCCATCCGTATCCCGGGCAGGAAAGATGTATTCAAAACATCAACTGTAATAATAAAAGAGTCAAACTAACATAAGTTGTGGTGGAAACAGAGACAAAGCAAGTTTATTTTGGGTGTCCTCCTGGGTGCCATGCAGGGGCGTAAATAGAAATCACGGGGCCCCATAGCAAAATTTTGTATTGTATGCACACAAAGCCAGCTCCATAAATACATTGATGAGTTTAGTATGGAGGAACATAAGCGGTCACCACTAAACTCTGACCTCAACCCTACTGTACTTCTCCTCCTCCAATATCATTACGAGACCCTTCCAAATGGCCTTGTGGCTGAATAGGCACACATTTCTATAGGCAGTGCCGGTGCCCTGTTTTTTCCGCCCTCACCCTTCAGCGCCCTCAGGCGGCCGCCTGACTTGCCCTGCGGTAGCGCCGGGCCTGTCTATAGGCACACTACGAAATCGTGAAGAAAGCCTTCTCAGATGAGTGAAGGTCGTTAAAGCCACAAAGAGAACCCCCAACTCCATAACATTACTCAATGGAATGTTCAAGCATCTCACATAGGTGTGAAGTTTACGTGTCCACCAACCTTTGGCCATATGTGTA